GAGACAATGTGTAAAGTAAAAAGTTACTCCATTTTTTGAATTCCCGCAGTTTTCTTTATTCAGGATAAGTGGTTGTTGCTATGATCAGCTTGTTAGCTGAGCGGACTTGGTATGATGCTGCTTCAATTGTCGGATTACAGGTGTCCGGTTACAGCCAACTGTACGATTACACTGTCCGATTACAACTGTACAGAATGATTAGTGAAAAATAACGCACATAATGCACCTATCACATTTGAGGAAATTGTAATGGTTATAATCAATAATGTAACCAGACATGTTATGATCACTGCACTTACTTTGATTTGAACGCCATACGATAAATCCAAAATAAATCTCTTAAGATTTTTTCGTTCTATTTCTGACTAATTCATGGTTAAATGCCACCATAAATAGAATACGAGGGAATTACAATTTCTATTAGTTCCCTCACGTTATCAGACAAACTTCTCAAGTGTTATTTTAATCAAGACTGAAATGCCAACAAAAAAGGTTTCGTTTATTTTAAAAGATGATAAACGAACAGAATCATAGTGAATGGTTTTAATATCTTAGCATGCCCTCACGGTGTTTGAAAAGTTTGTGTTTCAATCCATTACTTAAAAAAAGTTACGGTAAGGGTTGGCTGGCTGACTGAACAGTTTGGAATGTTGGGAAAAGTCCCGACTCTCATTATTTTTGCCGTTTTACTTTCGAAGTATTAGCCAAGAGAGGATACCCAAAACAGAAGTGACCTGGATACCCAAAACATAGGGATACCCAAAAAATCTGTGACAGCGTAGGTTTCGGAATGTTGGGAATACTCAATTTTTTTGTTTCAAAAGCATTACCTACATAGTGAACTCTTGGTAATTACGATTAAAGAACTTTTATAGGTACTCGGGTTTTATCACCTATAGTACTGTTAATTAGTCACTCTAAGGAAGTAAGGCTCTAATGGGAAAGCCTTATGAATGTTTGCAGATCACGTTGTGTACAATCGAAATTGCAGAAACTGATGGTTTTGACAATTACGCTATTAATTTGTTTTAAAAAAGCAAATCTATTTACTCCATTTCTGATGTCATAGGATAATCGCGGTGTAAGAGCTCGTGGTTTTCGAATCATTAGTTATTAAATTGACCTCGTTTACTTTTTGTGAAAGCGCCAAAGTCTTGCGTAAGAAGATAATTCAGCCTATGACACTGAGAGCTCACGAAGAAAGATGATGTATGTTCTGTGAGGAACAGAACGTTACTTGACTGATTTCCTATAATCTTGTCATAGTGTTATTGACCAGAACGCTTACTTTTCAGATAGATGTAGGCTTCGAACCTCTACCATTAATTCGGTCAATTGCTTCGTTAGGCTACACAATAAACCCAAACGTCTTTTGTTAAAAATCTAGAGATTTTTCAGGTCCTATTTAACTAACTCATGGTACATGCCTGCATAAAAGTGGGAAAAAGAGGATTACAATCTTTTTGCTTCAGTCACGTTATGAGACACACTTTTGTGAATTAGATTACTGAAAAAAAAATTTAACCAAAACATTTGTCGGTATTCTAAATGAGGAAAAACGTGCAGAATCGTATTGTGTGGTTCTAACATTAGTCAAGATGTTTCGAAAGTTTTTGATCTCTTTCGTGTAAAAAAATACTTTTTTAGTCTTGTCCTGTCCTGTGACTATTAAGTCATGTTATGTTGTGCAAAAATCGCCGCCGGATGAAATGAATTCGTCCCAAAGCCGGAGTTCGTCAAACCTCTGTGGCTTCACATCTTGTTCATCATTCTCATTAGCTAAGGATAGATTCGTTTTCAGTGACATTCATCTGCTAAGTAAGCTCGTTACTTGGTAATAGCTTGCTACAACAATATTTTCGAATGTTCCATGCCATATTGCAGAATGTCGTGAAATCTTCCATGCAGTCATGGTAAAGGTTACCTCCCCAGTTAGCCTAAGAATTGAAACACTTAAAACTCAAGTGCATTGAGCTTAAACCCAACAGGCTTTATTGTAAATAGGTTCAGACGGTCGATAGAAATGCAGATGGATTCCATAGGCGCGAACATTTGCTCGAATTGGCATCCAGGCTGGCGCGGGCAACGCTTTCCCTACTGCGCTTGCGCATTAGAGTATCAATCGCATTAATGATAATTTACATTTGTAACAATGACGGCTGCAAGGGAAAGTATCCCAAAACGATACTCCGACGAGGTCTTTTCAACCGGACTTTTATTCAGATGAAGACAAGAACAAAAACCAACGACTATTAACTTTATCCTGTCGTTGTGACAGCCGTAGACCAAGTCACAAAGCGAGTCGAAATTCACTACGTTGGAATCCTTGGAATCTTTGGAATCTTTTTATGTAATACTTGCAGCTTCTCTCTGTGTCGTCGAGCTTTTACTCAAGTTTCTGTCGCTTGGTAATTTCATTCATCAAAGATTCTTTTAGCGCTCATTTCTCGCCTCTTAAATCTTGATTTTCCTTTTCAATAAAGTAATTATTAAGCTCGTGATAAAATAACTTGACAGAATAAGTTTGGTTGCGCCATTTGTCAGTGGGCCTCATGACACCGAAACCTCCACTTTTCTTCTTTGTTTCCTATTAGCTTAGCACACATGGTCCCAATCTTTTTCCTTAAGACATTTGTTATTCGATTGTAGACGATGATGCCTCTAATACCCGTTTGTTGCAAGATTTTCTCCACAACTGCAGCGAAGGTAGATTCGCCACTTCCTTCTCCATTCTCCTTAACAATTGCGTAGAGAAGATAGCTAAAAAATTGATAAACACGACCGGTATCAGACCTATTCGAGACTTGCTAGCAACAAAATTTTAGTATTATATGAAATTCCGTATCTCTGAGAACAAAGGGAAAAATCTAATCGCTCAATTTATTTATGATACTACTGACTTGTTAATAATGCATGTAAACGAAGGTAACGAGTGGCCCTCTGATCTTTCTCCCGCGGCTTTTACGGATCCACAGAATTAAAACCAGTGAGAGTGCTCCAACTTGAGCGGCCATTTGACCTATCTAAATCGGTCGCAAACTAGACGAATTAGATACCAAAATAAAGGAAATGTCTCGCTCCATTGGAATGTGGCGGTAAAATTGGGGAGAACTATATCACGGGCGACGAGCGGAGGAAGAAGAATAGACCGAAATACGACTGGTCAGCGGGGAAACAAATTTAATAATTCATATAGAGACATATCAATTGTTGTTACAGAAAACAAAAGGTGTTGTAAAGCAGAAATGTTAACAGTATACTTCGCTAATTAAAATGTTTAGCGATTTTTCAAAAGTGTTGATGACACATATATCTTTTACTGCTGTATTAAACAATGGAGGCATCGGAAAAGGCATTGGTGGCATTCGGAAAAGCACCAAGAAGAATTAAATTTACGTTTTGTAACTTGCAAAAAGAATCGTGTTGTAAAGCCAAAATGTTACCAGGTTATACTTCGCTACTGAAAAAGTTAAGCAATTTTCCAAACGCTTTGACTGGAACAATATTTTTACTGCTATATTAACCAACGGAAGCATCGGGAAAGCATCGGTGACACAAGTAAAGGCATCAAAAAGAATGATATTTACGATATGTAACTTGTTTTATGACGAAAAAAAGTATCTTGACTTGTTTAAGGCATTAATCACAGTTGGTTTGCTTTTCACTTGAATTTTGCAATCTCGACTTTCGATTCCGGAAAAATGAAAAGCTAAGCAACGCTAAAAAAATTTCGTTCTAGATTTTTATATTTTTAGAGTCATTAATAAGTTTGTATCCACAGCCTTTAGATAAGTAATTTAAAATTTCCATCAGCTGTAGTTCTTTTAGTGTTTATTATATATATTCAATCGCCTCATTTCACGTGAAAAAGGCATGTAGGAAAACACTGAGCTTCGAGAAACAGCCAAGTTAAGGCTAATGTGTTTACCGTGCTTGAATATTTATAATCAGGGCCACTCGTTTAGGAGACCTTTTTTCAAAAGATCCAGACATTAAAATAATTCTGTTTTCCGTTCGATAGGCTTTTGTTAACAGTGAGTTTGATATGTTGATACTGCAGACCACTCTTTGCTAGTTTCTTTACGGAATATTGGCAATACAACATCATTGATTCCCCAAGATTATCAAATGCTCTAATAAAGGGCTAACGCTCGAAATGTCAGCTTCAGAAACCCATTAAGATGGCCAATTTACATTGTCAACTTAGTTGGCAAAGCCCACCTAAGTTTCTTCAGAAACTTACCCCGTTGATTAATGTTGTTTATAGAAATTATGCATGGTGAAAGTTCTCATGGCAAAAATCAAGATAAACGCTGTTTTGTTTTATCTATGTCCTGTGATTTGTCATGTTGCGCAAAAATCACTATTTGAGTAAAATGAAAGGTGACAAACCGAGTTTTTCAAACCATGGTGACCTCAGATCTTGAAAATCATCCTCATCAGTTACATAAGGATTCGTTTTCAGCCATATACTTCAGATAGATAAGCTCATTACTTGGTGATAAACTGATAGGACAACGTTTTCAAATTTTCTCACAACGTTGTAGGTAAAGGTTTATCAATTCTTCTTGTTTTTTTTAAGAAACCCGCGACCTTTTAAAGCCCCCCGATTGATGGCGAGACCCCCCGACACACGACCATTAATCAAACTCAAGCATGCGTCATTTTTTTTACTTGATAAGATGAACAAACGAAACAGCTGGATCAAAAATCACTTAGAAAACAGTTGACTTTGACAGCGTGACAGTCACACAGTCCGTTTCGAAAAAACTGTACATGTCAAATTAATTTTTACAAGTTTCACCGAATGTGATCCGTTGATGTGCTCCAGTTGTACTTATATACGCCTCTTCTTCGCTTATTTTAAATTTTGTTTTAAGTCGATATTATGAATTCTAACACTTTCAGTACAGTTTGTTTGTAGTGACTCATTATGAATCTAGATTATCGACTCATGTAGTATTTTTAGTTTTGTTACTGAAAATAATGTTCCCTGATAACAGGATGGAAATGGAAACCTAACAGCAGAAGCCATGATAGCTTTCATAAGCATCGCCTTACTTGTTGCCCTGTTTTTGCTCAACTCAGATCGCATTCAGAAAGCCATTGAGATATGCAGCGAATGTTTGATTTTGCTAAATAAAACCGATCAAAACAGCAAAGACCAATTTGATTCAGTATCGCTACAATTTTACAGCGACATCTACACAGTTCTTTTCAGCGCTTATCGTCATATCTCTGACTACATAAGTGCGGAAAGATACGGCAGGAAACTGTTTGTCTTATACAGCGAGTCTGGAATTATGCTTCATAACCTTGGCGAAAACCAAAAAGCGAAAGAGTATGTTGAGAGAGCCCTAGCCATTACAACCGAAATTGGCGACAGAAGCGGAGAAGCATCCTGTTACGGAAACCTTGGAGCGTTGCTTCAGTCGCTCGGGGAATGCGATAAGGCTAAAGAGTATCTCCAAAAAGCGCTTGTCATCAGAACTGAGATTGGCGATAGAAAAGGAGAAGCAAATGACTACGGAAACCAAGGTACTGTGTTTCTCTCGCTCGGCCAATACGACAAGGCTAAAGAGTATCTCCAAAAAGCGCTTGCCATCAGAACTGAAATTGGTGACAGAGAAGGAGAGGCAGCTGACTACGGAAACCTTGGTACTGCGTTTTTGTCACTCGGCCAATACGACAAGGCTGAAGAGTATCTCCAAAAAGCGCTTGTCATCAGAACTGAAGTTGGCGACAGAAAAGGAGAAGCATCTGACTACGGAAACTTGTGTACAATGTTTGTGTTGCTCGGGCAATACGACAAGGCTAAAGAGTATCTCCAGAAAGTGCTTGTCATTAGAACTGAAATTGGCGACAGAGAAGGAGAAGCAACTGATTACGGAAACCTAGGTTATTTGTGTGAGTCGCTCGGGCAATACGACAAGGCTAAAGAGTATCTCCAGAAAGCACTTGTCATCAGAACTGAAATTGGCGACAGGAAAGGGAAAGCATCATGTTATGGAAATCTAAGTACAGTGGTTTGGTCGCTCGGGCAATATGACAAGGCTGAAGAGTATCTCCAGAAAGCGCTTGTCATCAGAACTGAAATTGGCGATAGAAAAGGAGAAGCAACTGATTACGGACACCTAGGTTTTTTGTGCGAGACGCTCGGCCAATACGACAAGGCTAAAGAGTATCTCCAGAAAGAGCTTGCCATCACAACTGAAATTGGCGACAGGAAAGGGAAATCATCATGTTATGGAAAGCTAAGTACAGTGTTTCTGTCGCTCGGGCAATACGACAAGGCTAAAGAGTACCTCCAGAAAGCGCTTGCCATCACAACTGAAATTGGCGACAGGAAAGGGAAAGCATCATGTTATGGAAACCTAAGTACAGTGTTTCTGTCGCTCGGGCAATATGACAAGGCTAAAGAGTATCTCCAGAAAGCGCTGGTCATCCGAACTAAAATTGGCGATAGAAAAGGAGAAGCAACTGATTACGGAAACCTAGGTAATTTGTGTAAGTCGCTCGGCCAATACGATAAGGCTAAAGAGTATCTCCAAAAAGCGCTTGCCATTAGAACTGAAATTGGCGACAGAGAAGGAGAGGCTGCTGACTACGGAAACCTAGGTACTGTGTTTTTGTCGCTCAGGCAATACGACAAAGCTAAAGAGTATCTCCAGAAAGCGCTTGTTATCAGAACTGAAACTGGCGACAGAAGTGGGGAAGCATCATGTTGTGGAAACCTAGGTCCTGTGTTTCTGAGGCTCGACCAATACGACAAGGCTAAAAATTATCTCCAGAAAGCACTTGTCATCACAACTGAAATTGGTGACAGAAAAGGGGAAGCATCATGTTATGGAAAACTAGGTACTGTATTTAAATCACTCGGGCAATATGACAAGGCTAAAGAGTATCTCCAAAAAGCGCTTGTCATCACAACTGAAACTGGTGACAGAAAAGGGGAAGCATCATGTTATGGAAAACTAGGTACTGTGTTTAAGTCACTCGGGAAATATGACGAGGCTAAAGAGTATCTCCAAAAAGCGCTTGTAATCAGTACTGAAATTGGCGACAGAAATGGAGAAGGAACTGGCTACGGAAACCTGGGTACAATGTTTCTGTCGCTAGGCCAATACGACAAGGCTAAAGAGTATCACCAAAAAGCGCTTGCCATCAAAACTGAAATTGGCGACAGGATAGGAGAGGCAACTGGCTACGCAAACCTCGGTACTGTGTTTCTGTCGCTCAAGCAATACGACAAGGCTGAAGAGTTTCTCCGGAGGGCGCTTGTCATCAGAACTGAAATTGGCGACAGAAAAGGGGAAGCATCGTGTTATGGAAACCTAGGTACTGTGTTTTTGCCGCTTGGGCATTACGACAAGGCTAAAGAATATCTCCAAAAAGCTCTTGTCATCAGAACTGAAATTGGTGATAAGGAAGGGGAAGCAGCAGATCTTGCAAACCTCGGAACTGTGTCTAGAACTGTTGGAGATTATGAAGTTTCGGAAGTATTCTTGGAGAAAGCTTTATCCATATCCAGAGATATTGGAGATAGAAAAAAAGAGTTCGAAATCCTTCAAAGTTACGCCATTTTGTATTTATTGCAAAATAAAAAAAAAGATTCCCTTTCGTGTCTTCATCTGTGCATTGAAAAGTATGAGAAGCTGAGATATTTCTTGGGCGCCAATGATCAGTTCAAAACATCATTTCTGGAGGAGTCAGGAATATTTCCTTACAAGCTACTTTGTTGTTTGCTTTGTGACACCGGAAATTATCGGGATGCACTTTGTGTTGAGGAGTTGGGTCGAGCTAGAGGCCTATCAGACTTAATGGCAGAGAAGTACTCAGTTGAAACGCACATCTCTGCTAATCCACAATCTTGGTTTGGCATTGAGAACATTTTTGGAAGGAAAAATAACTTTACTTGTCTGTACATTTCTTATTTTTACAATCATCTGCATTTGTGGATCTTTAAAATAAGTGGAGTCCTTCACTATAGAAGAATATCACCAGAAGAGAATCTAGTTCAGGCTGGGTTGCCCAAAGATTTGTCTTTGAGTAAATTTTTGGATCACAATTTCCGGAGTCTTGGTATTTTGCCCACCAATGATTGTGAAGATCGGTCTTTAAATTTGGTTAAATTGCAACCTCTCTCCCCCGCACAAAAGAGCTCAGCAAGACTGCGACTCGTGGAGGAGGACGAGGATGAGGACGAGGATATGATCTATCTTTGTCTATCACAAAGTCTACCCTTGTGCTACAAAATGTTTATTGCTCCCGTTTATGATTTACTTGAGGAACCTGAAGTCATCATCGTTCCTGATCGCAGTTTGTACAAAGTTCCCTTTGCTGCACTGAGTGAAAAGGAGGGAGCCCAATACCTGTCGGAGACTCATAGGATCCGTGTCATTCCCTCTTTGACAACACTCAAGATCATTCAAGATAGTCCAGAGGACTATCACAGCAACACTGGTGCCTTGATAATAGGCAACCCTAAGGTCGATTGGCTGCCGTCATTACCAGGTGCAAGAAAGGAAGCAGAGATGGTCGGAAGACTGGTGGGTGTTCCGCCTCTGGTAGAAGAGGAAGCAACGAAGCAGGCGGTACTTGAGCGAATATGTTCAGTGGGTCTGATTCATTTTGCTGCTCATGGTAACGCTGAAAGGGGAGAAATTGCCCTCTCCCCCATTCCTACTTCCAACAGTCGTAACGCTAACCTTCCGAAAAGATATTTCACAAATTAATTAAGTTAGGTGTGAAGGTGGCTTTGGTTTAGCGGTCGCTGACCGTCGGCTGAGATCCTTTGTTACCTTAACCATTTCCAACCTTGGCGCAATGCGGTCGTTTGTTTTTGTTTAGAACCACCGCTTTTGTTTAAATAGCGCCTCTAAAGGGGTCAGTTATTACAACATTGTCAGGTTGTCTCGAAAAAGTTTCTGCGATTTCTCCGATGAGTTTAGTGAGCTTGTCAAAATAATTCTGTTTAAAACAGTTCTATACGTTTTAATCCGGTATAGAATCAGATTAATCCATTGATATAGTAGATTCCGAGGTAGTAAACGCTTATGGATCGGTTGTTGTTAAAGAGGAACACGAAAATCCTTGCGAGCATTCCGAGGAAGGTGAAATTTTGATCCATCATGCTTTCATTCATACATCAATTTTTTTCATTGAAGTTTGCCATCCTTGTTAAATAGGAACAAGGGTCAGTTGAAGTTTCCTGCGCATGGAGAGGAGCTTGTGCTCGAAAGAGTGATCGAGGTTGTTGTCCATGCAAAGCAGCACCTACCTTCATTTACAATCCTCAAGCGCTTTTAGAAAGTGGAAAAATTCGAACGTTGTCCGTTTCGCCGACCCTGTACACAGAGTACGAAGAGGTTCAAGCGTGACACGTAGAAAATTTTCACCGGACACGGTCTTCGAATAACTAAACGTACGGCAGTCTGACATTTTTCCATATTTCTCTTTAAAAAATACCGATTTCTATTGGGAAATATTTTATCTTTATTAAGAATCCTAAAGCGCTTCTAGAAAGTTAAAAAATTCGAACGTTGTCCTTTTCGCCGACTCTGTTCACAAAGTACGAAGAGATCCGATCCGATCGTGACTATTAAAAAAATTTTCTTCGGATTCTACCGGAAAAAATTCAAAATACTGTCAGGAAACTGTAAAATGACGAAAAGCAAATTCATTTACTATAAAACAGTTGACTATATGTCCAGGATGGCTCTTGAGAAAGACGACTTTGGAAGGTTTACAGTAATCTGGGAATTTCTTGTTACAGGAAATTGGGTCGAGGCGTGCGTTGCATCAAGGGTGAAAATTAGGCTTTTAACATCAAGGCTAGTCCAATACATCTATATACATATATATATATATATATATTTTTTTTTTTTCTTTTCGGAGAGTTACTATCGACGCTCTCTGGTGTAAATATAGAATCTCGAAAGGGCCTTTCTGCCAATCACATACAAGTGCCATTTATATTTTTACATATTGAGCTTGGTAAAATAGCATTTTTTCCATATCCAAACTTTTAATTAAATTTTTTTTAAAAAATTGTTGCTTTTTACTTTTTTACAGAAAAAGAGACCCCGACAGAGTTAATAATGAGAATCAATCGAAGGAAACAGAGCTAAAAGACTTTAAGATGGATAAATTGAATAGAAATAAGAAGAGAAAATACTCACTGCACTGTTGAGATACAATCACGCAGTCTACGTCATCGGTACGAGCGCGCGCAATTTACGATTGAAGAATTTGTTCATTCTTAGCGTGCGTATGTCGAGTTATGGATGCACGCAGGAAGTTTGGAGAGCACAAAAAATGCGTAAGAGTAGCTCGAGGCGCAGCAGCAAGTCTAGCTTTTTGAGTGCTCTCCAAACTTCCCAAGTGCATCCATAACTCGATATACGCACAGCTAAAAGCATGAGCAAATTCTTTTATAACAGGGCGACAACAAGGATCTGCGCGAAGAAGCCTTTTATTGTGATAGAGAGCAAAATTCTCACAACGCACAAAAAAGTAAACAAACGTCCCTATTGGCTGGTCAAAAACACGCCACATTTTATACTTTGGTTTAAGCGAGAACTCTTGAGCCAGTTAACCGATAACAGTGAATGAAAAGCACAAAATCTACAGGGAAAATGAAGAAAATCAAAGCTAAATGAACTCATACATAGCCTGATGTAAACGCGCGGGAGGTTGGGAGAACACGAGATAAGCGTAGGAAACCACGACGCGAAGCGGAGTGGTTTCCAGCTTATCGAGTGTTCTCCCAACCTCCCAAGTGTTTACATCAGGCTATGTCAACACGGAAACCATTATGCATTTCTTTTATAAAATAACTAATGAGAGAGGAACGAAAACCGTGTTTACATGCACTCATGTAAAATGATTTTATGGCCAATCAGAGCGCGCGTATTATTTGAATTATTTTATAAAAAGATTTTGTTCATAGCGGCTCACTAGGACTTAGTAAGGTAAGCGCACGCTCTATGTTATAATTAACAATTGGTTCATACGTCAGCGTGCGTTCATCGAGATATGAAGCACTTGGGAAGTTTGGGGAGCACGAAAGATGCGTACGAGTTGCTCGAGGCTACGCCTCTTACGCATCTTTCGTGCTCCAAACTTCCCAAGTGCTTCATATCTCGATGAACGCACAGCTGACGTATGAACCAATTGTTTTATAAAATTTTCAACCCGATGGAAATTTTTTTTCTCGAGGGATTTGTTTGCTGACGTCATGAACGCGCGCAATAGGAACATGGAGCACAATTGCGCAATTGAATTTGGTTAGACAAATTTAATAGCTATGCTATAATACATTTTATAAAAGAAATAAAAAACGCGCCGAGTGCATTGTTTAGTTAAATAAGCACACAGGAATTTTTAAGAACACTTGAGAAAAGCGAGAAGTACTCGCCCTCGGCTCGTGCTTCTCCACACTTCGCTCGTGTTCTTAAAAATTCCCGCGCGCTTATGTAACTCAACAATGCACTCGGCGCGTTTTTAATTGTTCTAATAATAAGCACAAAACAATGTTGACGTATGTAAGGCTTTAAAGTAGAGCGAAAGCGATAAAGTTAAAACAGTACTTCAGGTATAAAACGAACCACTAGAATCTGGTTTGATTTTTTTCAAAGGCTTTTGTAAGGCTTAGCTGACAAAACCTTCAATATTTGAGGAAAGAATTTGATGTAGCATCTTAAAGGATCCTTGTCAACCACTCCTCTTTTTCTTTGTTGACATACGGGCAACTGCGCAGAAATTCGTTCATATTAAGTCAATGCCTGGCAGGAGTCGTGCCGGCCCGTAAACACTTTTTACGAGGCGTAAATAAAGTTACGCATCCTAAAAACAAATCGGACGCGCTCCACATTTGTTGAGAAACTTAAAGAGCTTAAAAGACGGCTAAAGAAGGGGATAGAGGATACCTGACGAAGTTCTGGAGAAATACACTTACACTTAAAGAACAAAGGAAACATCATGAAGAAGAAAATTTTGCCTTTTGTAATTCAATATCACCCGGCTTTACCTAAACTCAAGAACATACTGATGGGGAAATGACACCTTATTCAAAATTACATCGGAAAAAAATAATCATCAAAATATATCATGGTCAGATCTAATCTATGAAGACGGAATTTTAAAATCGTTTGCGAATGGCAGGAGTGTCATGTAGGCTCGTCAATAATTCAAGTTTTAAATGATCACTTACCTCTTGTGATATGCACACTGCGCGAAGTTTGTCGACGCTTTGATGCAGAAAAATCTCTGCAAATTGGCTATTGGTTAGACCTCTGATGCTTGGACTATCCTTCCTGTCTTTTCACGGATTGAAATTTTTCCGCCTGCTCCGTGGGTTAAAGCCATCCACGTGAAGGAACGCGAGATACCATTGATGGTTCCAGTTACAAACAAAAACTTGTCAAGAATATTGCAAGAAACCACCACACAACTACTCAGAATAAACCACTGATAATTTCAGAAGGCTTACACGACAATTTCAGACCTCATAATATATTTAAATTGCTCGGATGCACTTGAATGAAAGACCACAAAGGAATTTTCTCGAATTTAGATGGCATAGGAACTAAGCGCGCAGTGTCTTGTGGTTGACTATGATCCTTTAACAGAAACCCTTTCTTTGGTCAGTTGCTTGAGAGATCGTAAGTAATTTGGACTGGTCGGGCATTTGCATTCACACGGTACCTTTTTTTGTTTTGGATATGCTCAACGTTGAGTTTTTCTTAAAGGAAATCATATTTGCAACTGATTATCAGCTATGTAGCCATTCCAAATAAACAAAAATAAAATTTGGCTCGGGGAAAAAACCTAGAAAATCTTCTGTGTTTCTCTTGAAGAGGTTGCAGTGTAAAACCGTGGCAATCAGATGTTCAAAGTTTCGCCATGGTAACGGGATAAGGGATGCAACTGGCGGGATTCGGGAAACTAGAATAAGTCTCTGCATGCTCTCAGCTGAGGCTCTCAGTATCGAAAATAAAATGAACGGCGTGATCACAGGAAGGATTTTATCTGTGCATTTTTCTGGTTGGTTTACCTCAACTCATGTTACTTGATACTCATCTTTTAAGGTGATTCCTTAGGAAAAAAGGTTATCAAAAAAAAGTTTTTAACTTTCCCTTAATGTTTGGCCCGCAGTGCAGGTGTCTTCTTAAGGTAAACTAACGTTTTAAGCTCGCGACCGTTTATCCGACCGGCCATATTTGATTTGGAGTTAGAGTGGACGGTGGGGGTAGGGGCGGGGGAAGAGAGAGAAGACGCCTGCCCGAAGAGGCTGTTGAATTGCAAAACACCCCCTAATTAGTTGCGCGACACTACATTTCCGGAAATGAGCAGGTAAATTTAAAAACCGGAAGCACTGTCTCCCGACAAAAACAACACACCTAGAGCTTATCAGTGAGACAGTGAGCCAGTTTTTTTTTTTAGCCGGGAAAGAAATGGCTTCGACAAAACCTCCTTCGCCGTCACAAGCATGAGCTGATAATTGCTGTAATCTATATTTGTCAAACGACAATCCTCTGTATAGCTGCCGTTAATCTATTTGACGATTTTTCTTCCATTTGATGGTAAACAATATTTTGAAGGAACAAAAACTGCACTCAGACGTTTACCCGCCATAATTTGTTTCATGCAAACCGGCAAACTCTGGTGAAACGCTGTGACTTCCTTTTTTTTTCATCAATGAAAAAAATGGCTTCACGAAACGTTCTCTGCTGACGCAAATACGAGTTAATATTTGCCTCACTCTATATCCTCCAAATGACAATCCGTGAGCGCAGCTACCGTTAATTCGATCGAAGATGCTTATTCCATTTGATCGTAAACAAAACGTTGAAGCGGACAAATGACAACTTCGCTCGAAAGTTTTCCTGTCATAATTTCTTTCATACAAACCAACACCTCAAATATCAGGCTCTTTTGGTAACACTACCAGTAGATCCTTTCCAGAAACCAATGAAGAAATTGCTTCTTTTTGTCACAATTTTAATGCGCGAGGCATATTAAATTCTGAAAGACATTTAATTAAGTGCCTCTTCGAAAGTGGAATCTGAAAGTAACAACTTCACCATTTACAGAGTTTGCCATCTTTCGCATTTCCCCGCAAGAGCAAAATGTCCAAATGACAAATTTGGCTTGTGATTGACAGCTGGAGCTTAACCGCACCAATCAGGAACTCTTTCCGTCGGGGAACGGAATTTCGCAAAACAACAATGACCTCGGGCAAGTGTAATTTTCACTCTCCCAACCCTCTCCTTATTCGTTTATTTCATGCAGAAGCTGAAAAATCAACAGCAAACTTAACAGCGTCATTATTTTGGAACAGCTAAATTTAATCTGTTAATAATCACTCAACAGTGAGGCCTTATCTCAGTTCCTGCCCACGCTGTGTAATAATTAGCTCCAAAGCTGAAATTAAGATATTTTATGTCGTATCTAGATTTCGATGAGTGAAATTTTGTTTGGCTTACTTAGTATGGTATCATCATTCTCACATTATCCATACTTTGGATAATAGAACGAGAATTTGATACTAGATTTTTAAATCCCACACTTTCATGGTCACAATTTTGTGATTGAGGTGATTCTTCAGTTTTGCACTGCGCATAGAAATCTGTAACACGGTATTGTTCTTCAATCCATGGACCGGGTAAAGAGTGCGATACCCGAGAGTGAGACTAAATTGGCTCGTTACGTGTAAGCCGGAAGAAAGGAGTTGTCCTTTAAACAATTTTTCTATTTTTTTGCTTTTGTTTCGTTATCTTCGTTTGAACCTCTCATATGAAAATTTTATTGCAACCTAAAAATCAGTCCGGAATTGGAAAAATGTGATAAATAATGTTGCCACTCCCTCTCGACTATTTGATACGTATCACATTTTAAAAAAGGTGAAATAGACTAAATTCGGCTTTAAACTGCGTTCAGAAAGATTTGTCTTTTCACGGGACTTGATGACAACAATGTCAAGTAGAATTACGTTTACGACTATCTTTCTCATTCAATGAGACATTTGTTTCAAATTATGGTAAAATTTCCGCACAGCCCCATATTATATTTTGCATTTAGTTCTTCGATAGAGAAAACAATGACAAAAACAATACATTGCTTTTGGGGAAACAGATTTGTTTACAGTAGTATGGGGCTGTGCGGAAATTTTACCCAAATTATGATGAGGTCTATGATTCGTGTTGTGCCGAAACAGCACTCAGCTCAACTACATCATTAAGTGTCTTTTATACTTAATAACGTCTTCTCTATTTTCAGACATGACAAATCGAGATCAAGATGGTGCAGCAGGTGAATATTAATGAAAATATCAATAGCATGTTTAAGCATCAAAGGTTTTTCTAGGACGATCGAGCATCCGCCATTTACCGATGGTTGGGGAATATTCCTTGGTGGAGACGTGATTGGCACCCGTCAGTTAGCTTAATAAAGGCTATAGATTTATTATCAGAAATTTCAGCTTCTATGAAAAGATGATCGTAAGTAATCTATTATACTTTCTAAGAGAATGACTTTATTTTAACCCGATCTTGCTTTTGTTTCATGCTTAACAGGGCAATCAACGTTGAGAACAGGGGCATCGGGAGGCAACGAAGTTGTGATCATCTCTCCAAAACCAGGTACGTTGGATTGGTTCAAAACTTATTGGATAGTTAGCAATGAAACTTTATTTAATACCAATTAAGGGAGCGTGAGCTGAGCAACTGCTCAAGGGAGCTCACGCAAAGACAGAGAAAAATATGCTGAGAAATACACAGACAGAAAACGTTTTCGAAGGAAATTTTCGCATTTAAGTTCTGTAATAAAATTCCCCACAAGAGTCATTCTTTATCATGTTTGATTTGATTTTATCTGAGACATTCTTGGCGGAAAAACTACTTTCAAATTGGCACTGTTAACTTTGTTATTCATAATGGGTCATGAAAATTTTACTCACAGGTTTAACTTTCATAAGCAGCAATCATCCACAGTGAGATTCATTTTTAGCTTAATTAAAATCCTCCTCTTGAAATTCTCTCCCAAAGGAATTGTATCCTTTAAAAAAATTTCTGCATTTTTCTGTCAAATTTATGAGGCTTCAGAGCTGGAACTTTTTATTTCGGTACACAGTACTGTTGTATGCAACAAATTTCAACTTGACTTTGATTTTTATAACGCGAATTTTGATTCGTTGTATGGGTTGTAAGATGCATGATTTAATTAGCTATTACCATTGTTCAGAGCATATATTGAGAAACCGAATCAGTCAAGAAGTAAATAAACAACATTTTCCTTAATTTAAAGAGAAATGTTTTATAAAAGCATCAGAGAACTCTTTCACATTTTCATCTTAACACTCAGGAGGTTGGGAGAATTTTAGATGCAATGTTAGAATTCCTCCCCCCCCCTTTTTTTGTGTTTAGATGAGAGTATGTAAACAAGGAAACATTTCTAAATTGTTTATCAGCTGGACCCTAAAATATCATTTGCATATTATTTGATTCCAAATAATTTTTTTTCGGATTCCAGATTAAAGCAGTGGTGATGAGAAACTGGCCACCCCAATGCCTTCATCCACACTAATAGGACAATTACCTATTGCAGCAGGTAGGTGTATTTTCTAAACTACTTCTATCTGTTGGAGCACTGACGTATTCTTTAACACTACTTTTGTAGCTCAGATGGACTTGTTTTTCTTTTTTTTTCCCCTTCAATAAGGTGAAGAGAAAAGAGCCAAGGCATTTGTTGAAAGCTCGTATGGTAAAGATGAAGGCGGCTCATTATATTTTTTAGGATTGAGTTTCAAACCGGAGTGGCATGTATTGCACAGTGAAGAGATACAAAAAACTGAGCACACATACATTAAAAGAATATGAGAGTTGTGATAACTTGAGACATATCACTAAGAACTGAAACTAGTCAGTTCGTGCTTTTTATCTTGTATGTGATTATTCACTGTAAGGTGTTCTCAACTTCCTAGAGTCAGTAGTTACCTGCTATCCTGTAGCAATGGAAGACCGCAATTTGGCTGCACAGGCTGTGGAAGGTAATGATGCAGCCCATTATATACAAATTTTAAAGGTCACTTATTGGCTAGTCGATCCTAGTTCAAATCGTATTTTCAAGCATTTTGACCATGAATATCTTAAATCGTGTAATATTAAAAATGGGGATTGAGTTAACAAGACGGGTACTGTTTTTTAGTAGGAACAGCGAAGGAGGAGGAGGATCTCCTGATTGGTGCACAGGCAAGCAAGTAAAAATTAGAAATGAGTCATCTTAATCTGGTCATGCAAGGAACACATGTACCTAATTGATTTTCCAATATCCTACTGTTATATTAGACCCAAGATGTGGACCTGCCTACGACCTCCAGTTGTTTAGAAGGTTGATGGTAGCATATGACCTGCCCCTTGTGCCACCATTTATGTGCACCAATGCATGAGGAGTAAGTGTGTGAAGTTTTTTTTAGAATGAATTTAGATAAGATTTTCATTTGAAGTCTCTTCAGGTTACGATTAACATGTAATGGTTTAGTCATTAGCACAATGAACTCCAGATTGTGTTGCGTTCAGGTTCAAGACCTGGCTATACATGCATACAGGTTGTGTCTTTGGATAAGATACATTTACTCTCAAAGTGCCTCTTTCCAGCCAGCACTGTTTACTAGACCCAGAGAACTTGCAGGGAAATGTGATAAAATGCTGGGGACTAACCTCAATTGAGCCACCAGCTATTCATGGCCTGGTTTCTTCATGGGACACAAATAAGAACTTATTGACTTTACAATTGTTTCCTTGACTGACATTTCACAACTTGTAAGGTCAATTGCTGTAACTTGAACTACATTCTAGTAATACAGCTGAATGAATTCTGTTTGGGGTCCATATAGTGTTCTTACAAAATTATTTCAAATGTACATGTAATTTCGTGTTTTGTGTTCATTTTTTTCCTGCTAGCCATCAGATTGTAGTGTTAGAATTATGACATGGAAAATGGATAGTGTTAAGATATTTCCAATTGATTCTTCCCACTCACTAAATGATACAGGTGAATCATCCCCAGCTGAAGGTTACATCACAGTTCAGTCTTGAAATACATGTCATATGAACTAATAGGTTGTGCATGATACTTTTTTGAAGAGACAAATTTTGTACATTTCTACAATTGAAAGCAATTACATTGTCATTAATCTCATCATTTAAAACTTAACCCAGATGAGACAGCAGTGCCATCAGGGCTCCACTCCATTGGTGCTCATCAAATACAGAGCAACAAAAAAAGCCATGGATACCTTAAGGTACACTTCTTGTATATTTCAATAATATTTTACATGCATTGGCTTGACATTGATAAAAACAACACTGACCTGAATCCATTTTAATCAGAGTGAGGAATGATAGTCATGCATGTCATTTCAAGGGACAGCTGATTCTAGTTAAACATATATGAATAATGGCTGAGATGTGCAAGTCAATAGTATCAGTGTATCCATCACTTCATTGAATAAAGTGAACACCATTGGTTTATTTTAGAGCTTTGTTGGGTATAGCCGATGTTTTAGGAAGCTGCTACCTGCATGCCTCCCTTCAAGGCAGCAATTTTGATGATAATGGTAAGGACGTGGGCTTGATTACCAACCTTTGTTTCTGAATTAAACCTCTCTTTTCCCCACCATTATTATTAGCTGTTGAGACAATGGTGGTTCCCCTAGTGACCCACATGATTGTCAAGCTGTAACCCATGGAAATCAACATCAAATTATTTTTAATTTCACCAGTGAGACAATATTTTAAAAAAGTCAGTTCTCATTGATTAAGGCATGCAACCGCTCAATTGAAAATTTCCATGGCACGCACATTATCAAAAGCAAGATTGTCTTGAAAATAAAAGTTTAGTAACAAACACAAGTTATCCGTATAAGAAACCCAAAATACATTACATTTGGACCTTACAAGGAAGTTTCGTTGATTTATCTTTTTATATTTTCGAATTTGTCAGATGTTCTGGAAAAAAATTAGGTCGGGGAAACATGCGCAGCATCTCGAGGTATTTCTATTTTTTAATTTAGTTAATTGTTCCATACATGTTATTGTAACGCTCCAGCCATTTTTAAATACTCCGTTCCCAAGCAGCAAACCACCACTGCCGCCATTTTGTCCGTCATTTCTGGCAATGAATCCAATTAATAAGGAGGAGTCAAAAAAATACCTTCTGACAATACAAATGCGCAACAAATGGCAAGTTGTTAGCAAGGAAAAGGAAAGGATTTGAAAAACAAAAATAAAGGAACAATGAGGATGGGACACAGTCCGTTGCTAAGGTCTCCGATAATTCCATTCCTGTTGCCGCCAAAAATTCGATTGATTACAAATTCGTGCTCTTCTTTTGTCACAGTTCATTCATGCCTTTTGTTCTGTGCGCATAACTTTCATCAATATTCTGTTACTCTTTCCTGCATAATTCCCTTTTGTTTATGTCCCTTGTATTAGTCTTTACCGCGGATTTTATTCATTCGGATCAACCGTTTAACTATTCGAACCGTCTTACTGTTTATAACTTCTCTGTCAATCGCTTTATGCCGCTTTACGTTGCTTTACGTCGCTTTACACCGTCTTTAATTTGGCAGTTGATCCAAATCTCGTGCGACGTTTGTAAGTGTCTTTTGTTTTCCTTTATTTTTGTTTTCTCGTTTGTTAATTTCTTTACCTTGAATTGTGACAACTATAACTTGTAATCCATTTCTTGCAACCGGTTACGTATTTATTACAGAACTTCGTTTCGTTTAGCCATTTTGGAAGTGAAGTTGGACATGTAACGAGCATTTGTGGCTACAACACTGATGTACAACCCTATCAATTGGAGCTTCCTTAACAAAGAAAGCCGTTGGCCATCCAGCAGTGGTCAAATTATTCTGTAGGGCCACCTCAAAAGCTATGAAGGCCAACCTCAAAGCTAGCCTGAAGCATTCGCCGGACCAAGTCGTTCTCTATGTCGGCTACAATAACCTTAAATATAAAAAGTGTTGCAAGATGCTGAATCAATCATAGACAAATCGAAAATTCATCCGACGCCACCTCCGCTATATCGAGGCTTACTTCCACATGGGATGAATTCAATAGAGCAGTGAAAGATGCGAATAAACATCTAAAGAGCTACTGCCGTCAGAATGGATGGAAACTTATCCAGCGTCTAAAGATAGTAGAGAATGGCCTAATCAAGGGAGGACTGCATCTTAGTTATAAAGGTAATCAAAACATTTTCAACAACTTTAATGTGCTCTCCGCAGATTTCCTGCGTGCTCAGTGTATTAAATCCAACAGTGAATCCCGTATACTGAATGAAAGTGGTAGAGAGGGTCCAACATAGGTTTGGCAGGATGCAGGATGAGGCTTAGGAATACGAGATAGGTTAAAGGCGAGATGCGGGATGAAGATAGGAAGGCGAGATCGGGACATACTCCGATTCGAATGCGGGATAGGGGTTGGGACAGGTATAGGCGAGCTCATAAAAAGTATTTCTTTGCTTTAGAAACGGGCTTAATTAATGCTCCCGTGTAAATTGAGGTTGACATGCCTAGATGATTCAGTAGTACGTCCAGTTTTCTCTGTATTAGCTACAAATGTTTACACGAAACACCATGGTATATTCAGTTTTCTCGCCCTCGGAATTTTCTCTCACGAGTATGTCTGAGTGATCATTTGTTTCTGTACGATATTATCGGTTTTTTGAGGATTTCTCTTTGCAATGGTTGTTGCTGTACTAAATGCCACTTGCTCATAGGGAGTTTTTGTAAGGTTTGGAGATTTGAAACTGTTGGATAGTATTGTCGGTTAGCTCAGGAAAGGGCTTGAACTTTATTACAAATGATATATTTCTATTATCAAAATACGATGGAACTACAACTGATAGGAGTTTCCTACGATAAGAAAAACGCAAATGTAGTCATGTGGAAAGACAAGGAGTATGAGTACATCTCAAGCGCGTGAAATAACAACAATAAGGAGCTCATCATTCTTCGCTTACGAAATGTCAGCTGAAAGGAATGTTGAAAAATCGTGTACGGTATGGGAACAGGCCCTCTAATCAGCATTATTTATAAATGAATTAATAATAATAATAATAATAATAATAATAATATTAATAGCAACAACAAAATTTATTTAGCGTCATTTCCATGTAGCCCAATGGCGCTTTACAATCAAAAAAGAAATAGAAAAGTAAATCTAACCTGCTTATGATGAACAAATATGTAAATACATGGTATCCAGTCGTTTCATACCCATGGATCTTTCGTACCCATGGATCTTTCGTACCCAGACGATTCGTACGCAGGCTTCAAGCCTAGTAGACGTTTCGTACGTACTTTCGATTAGTTCGTGCCCAACTCTCTGGTCGATTCGTACCCAACAAATTATGACACAAAATATTTAAAACAAACATAGAAATTCATTTCATTTATCCTAGTAATCGTTAAAAAGCTAATTTCTAAACACAAAAAATGAACAGAATAAAACATTCTTAAAGATGGGCAAGGAACATGTTGCCATGATCTTAATAGTTATCACTGGCTTTACAGAAGTTTAAAGACCACATTTAATAGCGGTGATACAAGTAGATTTGCTCTCACACTGCAGTGATGCACTCTGTATGAGAGTCATCTGCATTGCTATGAAAGGTGACCATACACTTTACCTTATTTTTTTCGTCACCAATTAAACAAGTTTTAAAGTTTTTTAAAATAGTCAAATCAATTGCTTCTTAACGAGTAGAAAGTCATGTTCCCTGATCTTGCCTTCTACAAAACAAATAGGTCCACACAGCTTTCGTGTGTCTTGGACAACAACAACAATAATAATGATAATTAACATTGCTAGAGCACCAAAATTATAAAAATATTCTAAAGCACCTTACAAAATATTCTATAAAATATTAAAAGAATTAAACAATAAAATGTGAAAAATATGAAAAATATGAAAGATATTAAAATGTTAGCACTATTAAAAATGTTAAAACAACTTAAAAATGGCTACACTGACTGTTTTGAATTTCAAACAGCAGTTTGTTCCACAGAAGTGGCCTGGAATGGGCAAAGGTGCGATCACCAAAGGTCTTGAAATTAGTTCTTGGGATCTTAAGAAGGCCAGGAACGTAGGTGATGACCAGAAATGGAGTGTGGCTGCAGATATTCTTCTCAGTGAAGATGGGATAAGGCGGACGAAATGTGATCAAACTTTGGAATCCTAAATATTAATTGAGCAGCATCGTTAACCACCTTCTGGATACGATCTGTCTGGTACTTGGGATGCCAAAGAGAAGAGAGTTACAGTAGTCCAAATGTGAAGTCACAAATGCATGAATAAGAGTCTTCGTGGACTCAGGACTAAGGCATTGCCTAATTTGGAAAATTAGATGAAATTGTGACAAGATGAAACTGTATGGTTA